TTTGGCACACAGAACTCTCATGACCAACAGCAAACACTGGAAGGGTTTGGTGGGCATTGACATTTGGGAGTTGTAGTTGCTGGGATTTATAGTTCACCAATTAAAGATCATTCTGAATTCCACCAATGATGAAATTAAAGCAATGTTGGCACAAAGAACTCCCATGACCAGTAGAAAATACTGGAAAGGTTTGGTGGGCATTGACCTTGAGTTTTGGAGTTGTAGTTCACCTACATCCAGAAAGCAGGAGGAGGGCTTTTAGTGGGAGGATTCGCTGTCTGCTTCAAAAAAGGAAGAGAAGGACAGGCAGGGAGATCTTCTGCCAAAGGCGTTCCTAAGACCATCAGAAATATGTGTTTTCTGATGGTCTTTGGTAACCCCTTTAAAACCCCACTCGTGACCCCCAGGTTGAGAAACACTGGATTAGACCCTAATTGATGGCACTGTGCTTGTACTTTTTAAAAGTTTCCTTTTCACTGCATGGAGCTGATATCGAGCTACTTTTAGCAGGGTCCCCTCAAGAGAGGAGAACCCGAGGACCACGCCAAAAGGGTCCTGGATACCTTGGTGAGGCCAGCGAAGCCAATCTCAAATGATTAAAGTATTAAAAATAATAAAACCTCACCCAAGTGGAAGAAGGTTTTTTAAAAAGCGACCGAGGCGTTTATTTGCGATTCAGCTGGTATCGGATGCATTGCAGGAATCATTCCACCACAAGCATGCCAGCTAGGCCAGTTACAAGCATATTTCATAGAATCATAGAATCATTGAATCATAGAATCAAAGAGTTGGAAGAGACCTCATGGGCCATCCAGTCCAACCCCCTGCCAAGAAGCAGGAATATTGCATTCAAATCACCCCTGACAGATGGCCATCCAGCCTCTGCTTCAAAGCTTCCAAAGAAGGAGCCTCCACCACACTCCGGGGCAGAGAGTTCCACTGCTGAATGGCTCTCACAGTCAGGAAGTTCTTCCTCATGTTCAGATGGAATCTCCTCTCTTGTAGTTTGAAGCCATTGTTCCGCGTCCTATTTATTTATTTTATTTATTTATTTGGTGCGCTTATATACCGCCAATATCTCAGCCTGTATGGCGACTCATTGCGGTTTACAGCATAATTAAATAGTCTCCAAGGAAGCAGAAAACAAGCTTGCTCCCTCCTCCCTGTGGCTTCCTCTCACATATTTATACATGGCTATAATATCTCCTCTCAGCCTTCTCTTCTTCAGGCTAAACATGCCCAGCTCCTTAAGCCGCTCCTCATAGGGCTTGTTCTCCAGACCCTTGATCATTTTAGTCGCCCTCCTCTGGACACATTCCAGCTTGTCAATATCTCTCTTGAATTGTGGTGCCCAGAATTGGACACAATATTCCAGTGTGGTCTAACCAAAGCAGAATAGAGGGGTAGCATTACTTCCTAAGATCTAGACACTATGCTCCTATTGATGCAGGCCAAAATCCCATTGGCTTTTTTTGCCGCCACATCACATTGTTGGCTCATGTTTAACTTGTTGTCCATATTTATAGACAAAATACAAAGGAAAGCATTTCAAATGTCCTGCCCGCCCTCTGCCCCTGGAGAGCCAATCAGCAGGCTTTCCTTACGAATCAGAAGCAGGCCAGGCGGGACAACCGCAGGCTATGTGGAAATGATGGGATTACAGATTGCCAGCCAGAATGGAATGTGAGGCTTTGTCTTGGCTGGCAAGGTGTGACCGCTGTAAACAAAGGTTTTCCTGTTGGAAATGGTTTTGGGGGAAGAAACAACAGGGTCAGATTGCGGACCTCGGAAAGGGATCAACGCTATCTTTTGTAATTTCAATCATTTCCCCTTGTTCTCATGAATTCCTTTATCTCATCAGACAGGCTCAGAAAATGAGATAAGGAAGACATGGCTATTGTCTCATGCAGATGAGTGGATCAATGGATGAGACAGGGATTTCCCCCAAGCATTGCAACAGTTCCTGGTCACTTTTGGTAAGGGAAAGGTCAAGAGGGAAAAAGGGGAAGGGGGAAAACAAGTTACATTTCATACAGTAATACCTTTATACAGAGTTCATAAGGGAAGCCCCATCCCCAGCCCATACCCCAATAAGTTTTATTTCAATATTTGATCTTTATTATAACACAAACTAGAAATCCATGCTCTTGGGAAAGGCGCGCGGAAACGGAGGTTGCTAGCAGTTCAAATCAAGCATTGATAGAAAGTTCGTGGCCAGGGTTGTGGCAAACAGTCCAAATCACGCAGCAGAGAGTCATTCTTCAGGCAGAAGCCAGCAGATGGGCGCTGAGTTGATCGATAACAGAATCCATCGCTCAGCCCTTGGGGAACTACAACTCTCACAAAAGGGCAGAAGTCCCAAGATCCAGCCATTTCCCAAAAAGCCTCATGGGGTCCTTGTTGTTTGACGACGATCCTGCCATCGATCTGTGGAATATGCGACTTCATTACTGAGAATTGTTGTTGTCAGTGCCTTGGCAATGTGGCCAAGACTTAACCCTTGTTGTGTAGTCTGGTGCCCTTGCCCTTTGCAGAACTATAAGTCCTTATCCCTTAATTTTGAGGGGGGGAGGGGGGTGGTGCCTGACATCAGAGCTACAAGAGGTTTTGTCTGTTTGGAAATAATTTCTCATATTCTGAGGCTTTTATTTTAAAAGCTTGTTTGTGCAAAAAGCAAAAACCCTCCCAAACCCACCACTGTTCACATGCAAGCCATTTTGTTTCTTAGGCGTCATGTATATAACAAAAATACCACTTGTATAACATAAACAATGATATAATTCAACAACAGTATATAAAATGCTGCACTGTTAACCTCACAGTGACAACAAACAGTATGGTGCAAACTTTTAGTACAGTTGTATTGTCTTATAAGTAGCTTGAGTAACAGCCTACCACAATTCAACAACAATATATATACATGCTGCACTGTTAACCCCACAGCGACAACAAACAATGTGGTGCAAACTTTTAGTACAGTCGTGTCTTCTTATAAGTAGCTTGTGGGACAGCCGACCACGACCGGTTTCGGCCTACCTCAGGCCTTCCTCTGGTGGACTGTAAGTGTACAAATCAACGTTTTACTACAGTAGCATACATATAGAACATCTGTATCATTAAACATCATAGGTTACAATACACTTTAGTACTTCCAAAAGTTATACACTTGAACAATACTACATTTGATAATACATTTCAATACTTACATACGGTCTTTGTTGTGACTGGCTGACGTGCCAGCAGCTGGGAGGGGGCTCATCCGCCCGCGGTGCGTCTGGACCAATCAGGGAGCCACTGCAGTGCATCAGTGACAATGAGAAGGCTTCTACCGCTCTGGCGTCTCAGTGAATCAGGAGGGAGCGAGGCGGGCCAAGAGAACACAATGCATTCCTGAGTGGATTATGACAAAATTGTCCCTGGGGCTCAGCAAGATCCGGGTGGGGGTCTGCCGGCCAAGCCACTCTATTGTGTTCTTGCCAGGAGGCAGAGACCAATCTGACTCTTTAAAGAGTTCGTTACCCTGGCGAGACAGAGAGAAGCACCCCATCCCTGATTTTTCCCAATAGAAAATCTCACCAAGTTGAAGGAAGTGCCACCGAGATGTTTTATTTGCGATTCAGCTGAAAAGGATGCAGAAGCTGCAATCATTCGCCAAGCAGAGCACGTGGTTACAGTAATAAAGGCCATTTTATAGAAAATACAGAGTTGTGAGTTTCAAAATTCCCACTCCCCCCTCCCGCCCAGCTCGAAGGGGATTGGCTGACGCGCAAACAGCTGGGAGGAGGCTTGGCCGTCCCCTGTGCATCAGGGCCAATCACAGGGCTTTCGCGTGCACCAGAGCCTATCAGGAGGCTCCTGCTGCCTCGACGCTCCAGCGAATCAGAAGGGAGGGAGGCGGGATGAGGGGAGACAATGCATTCTGGAGTGGATTATGACAAAATTGTCCCTGAGGCTTAGCGAGATCCAGGTGGGGGTCTGCCAGCCAAGCCATTCTATTGTGTTCGTGAGTGAAGGCAATAAACATATGTTAAAGAGATCCGGGTTTTCCTGTTCTATTTTCCATGCAAATATGTCCTAAAATAAGAGTTCTTTCAGGATTGCTGATTGCTTTTCCACTGAGGTAGGGCAACTTCCTTAAGGATAAGGGAAGGGGGTGAAAAGGGTCAGGGTAAGGTCAGACTCATGGGGGAAATACATATAAGAATCATAAGAAAAATCATCTCTAGACATCCCCCCTCCACCCACCAGAACAATTGATTAAACTTATAATTTCAGCATAACATGAGTCCATAGGTCATCCTGGGGGAATTCATAGGCAGAAACAAGTTCTTTGAAGAAGAATGAAGTCCAAAGTATGTGGCAGAAGGTTCAAAAGCACAAAAAGGAGTCTGGTCATTTCCACTGAGCCAAAAGATGGAGTCCTACAGCGCTGAAATCGAAGCTAGTCCTTGGTCCTTGGAAAACTATAACTCCTTCCAAGGACTGAAGCCTGGTGGCAAGACCGCTCCCTGAGAGCCTCATGGGGTAACCGCATCAAGCTGGCAGGGCAGGGGGCTTCAGGAGGACGAAGAAGCAGCGAAAACAGTAGCAGCGCGGCAGCAGCGAGGCTCGGATTTTGACAATCAGCTGTTTCCTTGAAATTATATTCTTAAGATTCAAAAGGTTATTCCCAGAGCGTAGAGGCCCGAAAGGTAAAAAGCGAGATAGTAGATAGTGTTAGAATTAAGCTAAGAAAGATATGGCACCAAAATGGAGTCGATCCGTGAACTTGTGGATACGGGGGCCCAAGGGGTTTCCGTATCCGTGGTTTGAAGAAATGCAGCTTCGACCTCCCCGATCAGCTTCAAGGCAGGGGCCCCTGGCTGGCTCGCCATTACTTTGCTTCAAATTATTATTATTATTATTATTATTATTATTATTATTATTATTATTCTCACACAAAAACACAGTATGTTACAGTAAACGAGATATATATGTTGGATTTCGTATCACAAAACCACAAGTCGAACACTTCCCAAGAATCTAGGACTGTGTGATATTATTATTATTATTATTATTATTATTATTATTATTATTATTGCCGTCTTGAAATATCCACTTTCCCGATTGTAACACAGAAGTTAATAACACTATGTCAAAAAAATTGAAAAAAAATCCTGTTCCTGGTGTGAAAGTGTTTTTTCCTGTTTCATTGTGCAGGACTTGCTTTGAAAGTAGTTGTTGTACTCCAGAAACTTCGTTTTTGTGGCTGCCACAAACTAGGTTGAATTGGTTGAGAGTCGATGAGAGATTAATCGAATCTCTGGTTTGATCCTATGGTCAACCTTCTCTGATTATTCTGGAGGATCTAGACATGTCTGGAGAACATTGAGGACTCTTTAGGTCCTTCAATGCTATTTCTAGCATTCAATGCCCAACTCCTTGGGTTCCATAGCCTCCAGCCACAGCAGTTCAAGAGGTATCAAACTGCATCGATTCAACACTGTAGATGCCTTGGAGAAATGACTTGGACATGCCGAACGACCACATCTCACCCAGTTCTGAGAAATCATCTCACCTCGTAATTGCTGATTTCAGGGGGATTCCTCTCGTTTTGGTTCTCATAGGACAGATGTTCAGGAGTGGTCACTCAGGGTCAGCTGCAGAATGGAACAGGAGGCACGTCACCTTCCCTGAAATTCACAAACCCAACCCCAATCCCACCACAACAGGATAGTTGTATACCACCAGTTGTCCCAGTTGTTCAGGGACATCCCCATTTAAGCCTCTCCTGTCCCACTTTTCCAGCTGAGTATAACATATGTTGTTGAAGGTTTTCATGGTCAGAATCACTGGGTTGCTGTGAATTTTCCGGGTTGTCTGGCCATGTTCCAGAAGCATTCTCTCCTGACGTTTCACCCACATCTATCGCATGCATCCTCAGAGTTTGTGAGGTTTCTAGATCTGAAAATTCACAGCTACCCATTATTATTATTATTATTATTATTATTATTATTATTATTATTATTGGGTTGCTGTGAGTTTTCTGGCCTGTCTGGCCATGTTCCAGAAGCATTCCCTCCTGACGTTTCGCCCACATCTATGGCAGGCATCCTCAGAGGTTGTGAGGTTTCCAGGTCTGAAAATTCACAGCAACCCATTATTATTATTATTATTATTATTATTATTATTATTATTATTATTATTGGGTTGCTGTGAGTTTTCGGGTCTGTGGCAGGCATCCTCAGAGGTTGTGAGGTCTGTTGGAAACTAAGCAAGTGAGGTTCATATAGATGTGGAATAATGTCCAGGATGGAAGAAAGTACTCTTGTCTGTGAGGCAAGTATGAATGTTGCCATTGGCCACCTTGATTAGCATTGAATGGCCTTGCAGCTTCAAAGCCTGGGTGGTTGCTGCCTGGGGGAATCCTTTGTTGGGAGGTGGGTGGTGCAAAGACCTCCTGTCTGTTTGAGGCAAGTGTGACTATGGCCATTGGCCACCTTGATTAGCATTGAATGGCCTTGCAGCTTCAAAGCCCGGGTGGTGACTGCCTTGCAGACTACTGGTGGTCCACAGACGAGAGGTTGGAAACCACTGGTGCAGATGGAACCATGTGAGTTCATCACATACTGAGAAGCTCATGCATGGACTGTATTTCCATGCTCTGGCCATGACACTGAGAAGGAAATCTACACAGCTGACATGAAAATGCAAGCACAGGATGTTGCTTCCAAGCGGATGTTTTTGCCCGGACCAACACAGATTTCCTTCTGCTCTAAAGTCCGTTTCCTTACCTTGTCTGCTTGTGAAACATTTCCTCTTTTTCCTACAATTCCAGATTGTGCAAAATCCTACCAGGAACGATAATACGATGAGCCTCACCATCAGCCCCCATTGCTCCCATATTGGTCCGTTACCTACGAAAAGCAACAAAATATCCAATGTTGGCTGTTGAAAAAACAATGCCTTTCAATGATAAACAAAACAAAACAATTATTTATTTATTCATTCATTCATTAGTTTGTTTGTTTACAGTGTTTACATTCTTACAGTGAGACATGAACGACGCACCTTCAAGGGAGCAGACGGAGAGCAAGTCAATGGAGATGTGCTTCTGATCGGAGAGCAGGCAGGTGAAGTTGGAGTCCCTTGCATTGGACCCCATGGAAACATGGAGACGCCAGCCATCGGAGGAGAGCTGATACCAGCCTGAACTTCCTTCTAAGGTCCTGAGATCATTCCCGATCCTCCAGGAGATGCTGAGTCCGGCCTTTTCAGAGAGCCAACACTCCAAGGTCACATTACAGCTAGTTGAAGAGTTGGAGACCATTTGGTGGAGAACTTGCGGTACTGGAACAGGATCTGTTCAAAGTCGAGAGAAGAGTACTCTTTCCAAAGTAGCCAGGCCTTTGTTCCCTTGACAATGTACAAAATCTGGCTACTAGCATTGAGAAACACCAGAATCAAAACAGTCACCACTCAGACACAGGAATCCCCCTGGCAGCAAGCAACCAAGGGCCAGGGAACACCACCCAGACAAAGGATGTCTCCAGTCAATAAACAGTCCAAGGGAACAAAATCCTGGCTACTTCTAGGCAGATGTCCTCACTATTAACTATGCAATCTTTTCAGTTACTCACATGGATGAATCCCACTCTGCTAATTGCACTGTTCAGACTTGTTTAATAGACATTGGGTCTTTCTCCCACCCTGGGTATTCCACAGTTATGTATTATACTCCACTTGGTTTGCCACCATCAGATCCTCTAAAGATACCAGCCACAGATGATGGTGAAATGTCAGGAGAAAATGCTGCTAAACATGGCCATACAGCCCAGAAATCACACAAAGGCTATGAAAGCCTTTTACAACACATGATGATAATGATGATGATGATGATGATGATGAGCGCTGATTGTGTTTAAGTGCAGGCCAAGGTCTTTAGGTACTGCACCCAGTGTGCCGATCACCACTGGGATCACCTTGACAGGCTTGTGCCAGAGTCTTTGCAGTTTGACCCAGTCAAGGTGGTCCCAGTGGTGATCAGCACACTGGGTTCAGTGCCTAAAGACCTTGGCCTGCACTTAAACATAATTGGTGCTTATCATCATCATCACCACCACCATCATAATCAACATCATGTGTTGTAAAATTTATTTATTTATTTATTTATTTTTATTTGGTACACTTGTATACCGCTAATTTCTCAGCCTAGAACGGCGACTCAATTGCGGTTTACAGCATTTTAAAAACAATCTCAGTTTAAAAAACATATACAATAACAAATTATTGGGCCACCAATAATAATCCCATATATCTCAAGTTAAAATCACAATCCAGAGTTCGTTGTCCATATTTCCTGTCCATAGTCACCAAGATTCGATTTAATTGCCACAGATTAGCCGAATGCTTGTTTGAATAACCATGTTTTGAGTCTCTTCCTAAACACCATCAGCGACGAGGCTGATCGTACCTCTATAGGGAGGGCGTTCCAAAGCTGAGGGGCCACCACAGAGAAGGCCCTATCTCTCGTTCCCGCCAGCCGCACTTCTGAAGCTGGAGGGATAGAGAGAAGGGACTCTCCGGAAGATCTTAGGGTCCTGGTGGGCTGATAGGCTGAGATACGTTCGGATAGATAAGTTGGGCCAGAACCGTTTAGGGCTTTAAAGGCCAACGCCAGCACTTTGAATTGAGCCCGGTAGCATATCGGCAGCCAGTGGAGCTGGTTCAGCAAGGGAGTTGTATGCTCCCTGCGATCAGCTCCTGTTAAAAACATGGCTGCCGCCCGTTGGACTAACTGGAGCTTCCGGACTGTCTTCAAAGGCAACCCCACGTAGAGAGCGTTGCAGTAATCAAGGCAGGATGTAACCAGAGCGTGGACTACCGTGGCTAAGTCGGGCTTCCCAAGGTACGGTCGCAGTTGGCGCACAAGTTTTAACTGTGCGAAGGCTCCCCTGGTCACCGCCGAAACCTGGGGTTCCAGGCTCAGCGATGAGTCCAGGATCACCCCCAAGCTGCGAACCTGTGTCTTCAGGGGGAGTGCGACCCCATCCAACACAGGCTGTAATCCAATACCCTGTTCAGCCTTGCGACTAACCAGGAGGACCTCTGTCTTGTCTGGATTCAATTTCAATTTGTTCGCCCCCATCCAGACCGTCACAGCGGCCAAGCACCGGTTCAGGACCTCGACAGCCTCCTTAGTAGCAGGTGGAAAGGAGTGACAGAGTTGGACATCATCTGTGTACAGATGACACCGCACTCCGAAACTCCGGATGATCTCGCCCAGCGGCTTCATGTAGATGTTAAACAACATGGGAGACAGTATTGAACCCTGAGGAACCCCACAAGACAAAGGTTGTGGGGTTGAACAGGAGTCTCCCAGTAACACCTTCTGAGACCGACCCTCGAGGAATGAGCGGAGCCACTGCAGAACAGTACCTCCAAGACCCATCCCCGCGAGGCGTCCCAGAAGGATACCGTGATCGACGGTATCGAAGGCCGCTGAGAGGTCGAGCAGCACCAACAGGGACACACTCCCCCTGTCGAGCTTTCATGGCCTTTGGATCATAATAATAATAACAATAATAATAATAATAATTTATTATTTTATATAGTAATAATGTTTGTATAATAATAATAATATTTTATATTATTATTATAATATAATTTATTTTATATCCTGTCCTCTCTCAACTTCCGCAGAGGTACTCAGGATGGCTAACAAATCGACACCCCATGGCAGACAACATAAATATGCAATTTAACAACAGTATAATAATAACAGTATGAATCAGTATAAAAAATATAAAACAATATAAAAACAGTCAAGCAGTCAGCGGTCACCGGTTTAAATCCTAATCCAAGGGGCAGTCAATCAATTCTATGTATATAATATATGTTAATATATAATATATTAATATAGTATATTAATATATAATATATAATATAGTATATTAATATATAATATATTAATATAGTATATTAATATATTAATATAGTATATATTAATATATTAATATAGATATATATTTCTATATTAATATAATATCAAATATATTATATAATAATAATATTTGTATAATAATAATAGAGTTGGAATAGATCACATGGACCATCTAGTCCAACCCTCTGCCATCAGGAAAAGCACAATCAAAGCAACCCCCAACAGATAGCCATCCAGACTCTGTTTAAAAGCCTCCAAGGAAAGAGCTTCTACTACACTCTGAGGCAGAGAGTTCCACAGTTGAACAGCCATTCCAGTCAAGATCTTCCTAATGTTCAGGTGGAATTTCCTTTCCTGTCATTTGAACTCATGGCTCCGTTGAGTTGTAGTCTCCAGGGCAGCAGAAAACAAGCCCTGCTCACTATTCCTTATGACAGCTTTTCCAATATTTAAACATGGCTCTCCTGTCTCCTCTCACCCTTCTCTTCTGAAGGCTAAACAGACCCAGCTCTTTAAGCCGCTCCTCAAAGGGATTCATGGTCTCCAGATTTTTGGTCCTTGTAGTTGTCCTCCTCTGGACACCTTCCAGCTTGGCAATATCTCCCTTAATAGGTCACATCAAAATCCATAATTTTGGCCCAAGACTTATCCATGAGGCTGGCTTATCTGGTACTTACCATAGACCTTGAGGTGGTAGAAATGCTCTTGAGTCTCAGCCGAGCGAAACCGCACCTGGGACCTATACAACCCGCTGTCCTCTTTCTCCAGGTTTTGGATCCTCAGGCTGGTCTCATTTGCCAGTTCCACGCGCGACCCAAACCGGTCATTGGGAGTCAGACGCTTCAGTGTCCCATCTTGGAATTCGCCTATGTTTAACCGTTTGCCACTTTGCAGCTGGAAATCCCATTCGATTCTGTGTAATGTCTCTGATGTGGAAATGTTCCTGATGGGCAGCACAACTGTTCCATTCACCATCCCATTGACCTTGCAGATGGGCATCTGTACCGTATCATTTACGACACCTAAAAAAATCAATATTGTTGTTGTTGTTGTTATCCTGCTTTCCTCTCTTATACAAGACTCGGGCCCCTTCTACACTGCCTTATAATCCAAATCAGCAAAGCAGAAAATCCACATGATCTGCTTTGAACTGGATTATATGAGTCTACACAGCCATATAATCCAGTTCAAAGAAAATAAGCAAACACACAAGAGTCCTTTCTCCCACCCTGGACATCATTCCACAGGCATAGAAACACCACTTGCCAAGTTTCCAACAAGCCTCACAACAGGTTGTTGTACGTTTTTTTGGGCTATGTGACCATATTCTAGAGGCATTCTCTCCTGATGTTTCGCCTGGATCTATGCCAAGCATAGGTAGTGAAGTCTGTTGGAACTAGGAAAATTGGGTTTATATATCTGTGGAATGACCAGGGTGGGACAAAGGACTCCTGTCTGCTGGAGCTAGGTGTGAATATCTCAACTGACCACCTTGATTAGCATTTGATGGCCTGGCAGTGCTTAGGGAAATCTTTTGTTGAGAGGTGATTAGATGTCCCTGATCGTTTCCTCTCTGTTGTTTTGCTGTAGTAATTTTAGAGTTCGAGTCTTATAATTCTATATTTTATATTACTAATAATATTATGGTATAATGGTATAGTACAATATAGTAATAGATAATACTAAAATATATTGTTTATAATTATAATATTGATAATATTATAATGTAATACAATAATATTATTATGCAATACAATACTAATAATAATACGGTATTATAATTCTATATTTTATATTACTAATAATATTATGGTCTAATGGTATAGTACAATATCGTAATAGATAAGACTAAAATATATAGTTTGTACTTATAATCTTGATAATATTATAATGTAATACAATTATATTATAATGCAATACAATACGATATTATAATTATATATTTTATATTCCTAGTAATATTATGGTATAATGGTATAGTACAATATAGTAATATATAATATGAAAATATATCATTTATACTTATAATATTGATAATATTATAATGTAATACAATAATATTATAATGAAATACAATACCAATAATAATACGATATTATAGTTATATATTTTATATTCCTTATAATATTACGGTATAATAGTATAGTACAGTATAATAGTAATATATAAGACTAATATTGTGCTATGGTAATAATATAATATATTGTATTCATATATTACTTGTAAGCCGCTGAGTCCCCTTTGGGGTGAGAAGGATGTCATGTGTGTGTGTGTGTGTGTGTGTGTATTGTTCCATCTTCTTTTTTCTGTGCTTCCTTTATAGCTGCAAAATAATAATAATAATAATAATAATAATAATAATAATAATAGTGTTATTTAATTAATTAATAATAAAACTCCATTGTTGGGAGGTTGGAGGCCCATCTGGATCAGTTCTGTGCTCTCATCCTTCCAAACTGTGGACTTTGCCTGGAATCTTTGAAGGACCTCCTTGGACTTACCAAGAAAGGAGCAGATGAAGGTGATGGAGAAGAGGGCGGTCCTTGGAGAGCTCCATGGTGGCATTGGCCTGCCAGTCCCTCCTGCCAAGGGAGAAGAAGACCCTTCTCCTTTTCAAAGAGACCCACTTTGGAGGGTCTTCTCCCCCATTTTTGCAGTCGAGGAGGAGGACTTTGGAGCCATGCTCTGCCTTCTCTTGGCTGGAAGTTTCTGAACAAAGAGGGGAAACAGTTGCCGGGAAGTAGGCGGACTGAATAAGGGAAGGACAAACTCAAGCCTTAATGTTATTGAGCCATAGTAAACCCTCCTCCCCTCAAAGATTTATAGTTCACCAAGGGCTCAGAAATAAATCTACAGTATTCCCCTTTTGGAAATAAAGACCCTTTGCAGGCTCAAAGCATCAGAAGATCAAGAGAAAATCAGCAACCAGCAACAGTGATCATATCGAATCCTTTAATAAACTATATCTCTTCTCCATGGCTTTCTATGTACCGTATATACTCGAGTATAAGCCGACCCAAATGTAAACGGAGGCACCCAATTTTATCACAAAAGCGTATTGACTCAATTTCAGAGAAAACTATGGACTCAAATAATGGTGGATCTGGACCAAACGACACAAATATTCAATATGCCCAAATGGGAATACCAGTGGAGTTTGGGGGAAATAGACCTGGGCATTTGGGAGTTGTCATTGCTGGGATTTATAGTTCACCTACCATCAAAAAGCACTCCGAACCCCCACCAACAATAGAATTGAACCAAACTTTCCATGAAAAAACTGGAAAGGTTTGGTGAGCATTGACCTTGAGTTTGGGAGTTGTAGTTCACTGACATCCAGAGAGCATTGTGGACGCAAAACAATGATGGATCTGGAGCACATTTGGCATTAATACTCTATATGCTCAAAGGTGAACACTGGTGGAGTTAGGGGGAAATAGACCTTGACATTTGGGAGTTGTAGTTGCTGGGATTTATAGTTTGCTTACAATCAAAGAGCACTCTGAACCTAGCCTACAATGGATCTGCATCAAACTCGGCATGCTATGCTACCTACATGACCAACATTGAATACTGGTGAAGTTGGGAGGTCTGAGGACTGGGGATGCCTGCCATAAATGCAGGCAAAACATCAGGAGAGAGTGCTTCTGGAACATGGCCAGACAGCCCAGAAAACTTACAACAACACAGTGATTCTGGTCATGAAAACTTTCGACAATACAATTGGAGATGGTTTGGGATCTGTTTTCCAGGATGCCTGCCATAGATGCAGGTGAAATGTCAGGAGAGAATGCTTCTGGAACATGCAGCTCAGAAAACCCACAGCAACCTAGAGACTGAATGGCCATCTGTCGGGAGGGGTTGGATTGTGTCTCCATGCATGGAATGGTCTTGGAGTTGCTCTTGGGATCTCTTCTAACTCTATGATACTATGATTCAGAGGCAGGATAGCCATCTGCTGGGAGGGCTTGGATTCTGTCTCCGTGCATGGCAGAATGGACTTGGAGTTACTCTTGGGATCTCTTCTAACTCTATGATACTATAATTCAGAAGCAGAATGGCCATCTGTCGGGAGGGCTTGGGTTGTGTCTCCTTGCATGGCAGAATGGGCTCGGAGTTGCTCTTGGGATCTCTTCTAATTCTATGATACTATGATTCAGAGGCAGGATGGCCATCTGTCAGGAGGGGTTGGATTGTGTCTCCGTGCATGGAATGGGCTTGGAGTTGCTCTTGGGATCTCTTCTAACTCTATGATACTATAATTCAGAGACTGAATGGCCATCTGTCGGGAGGGCTTGGATTGTGTCTCCGTGCATGGTAGAACGGGCTTGGAGTTGCTCTTGGGATCTCTTCTAATTCTACGATACCATGATTTAGAGGCAGGATGACTTCTGTCAGGAGGGTTTGGATTGGACCCAGTACCTCTTACCATTCACAGCATAGTAGTGTCACAACGCATCAGTTCTACAGTGTAGATGCACCAAAGAGTGACAGACTGATGCTCCCATTGAGATATTCCCTGCAAGGCTAGCTTTCTGCATTTGGTGATATTAAGCTGCGGTTTGAAGCCGAGCTGAGTGGAAACAGCCATGAGGTTTTGAAGTTCTCGTTCACAGGGTGGTTTGCACCAAAGCTTTGCAGTTTGCAAGAGAAGACGAGGCTTCCACAGGTGGTGGCCCTCAGAGGAAACCTCAACATGCAAAACTAGACTTCCCCTTGGACTTCCTTACCTAGTATTTTCAAACGAGCATGTGGTCTAGATGAGCATCTTCAGACACCGATCTGAAATTCAGCAACACTGGAATTGAGAAATGGCCGTGTCTTTATCTAAGGAAACCACTCTCGAAGGGTGCGTCTGCACTTTAACTGAATGTGGTTTCACACCACTTGAACTGCCATACCTTTGTGCTATAGAGGAAGAAGGGCACTGATTTTGGGGTGATCCGTTGACCCATGGATACGGTGACCCGATGGGTTTCAGTATCCATGGTTCAGAGGAATGCAGTTTCGGCGTCCCCGGCATGCTGGAATCGCATCCCAGGTGGGCCGGCAGTCATCTGCAGCCCGGGAGAAAGAAAGTTCATGCAGAGAATGGTTTGGAGGCAGAAAAGGACACAAAGGAATACTATAGAGAGGAAAAAGTTACAATTAATGGATACTTTATTGGGGGATTTGTTACAATGTTAGGTAGGGGAAGAAAGTAAAGCAGAAGAAGAGTCTTTGGTTGAAGCTGCTGCGGGCAATGGAGAACTGCGGAACTCCCTGCTGCAGGCCATAACAGCTTCAAGGCAGGGGCCCCTGGCTGGCTCGCCATTACTTTTCTTCAAATTATTATTGTTGTTGTTGTTGTTGTTGTTGTTGTTATTCTGACACAAAAACACAGTATGTCACAGCAAACAGGATATATATGCTGCATTTCGTATCACAAAATCACAAGTCGAACACTTCCCAAGTGTCTAGGACTGTGTGATATATTATTATTATTATTATTATTATTATTATTATTATTATTATTATTATTATTATTGCAGTCTTGAAATATCCACTTTCCTGGCTGTAACAAAGAAGATAATAACACTATGTCACAAAATTTGGGAAAAAAATCCTGTTCCTGGTGTGAAAGTGTTATTTCCGGTTTCACTGTGTAGGACTTGCTTTGAAAGTAGTTGTTGTACTCCAGAAACTTCATTTTTGTGGCTGCCACAAACTAGGTTGAATTGGTTGAGAGTCGATGAGTTGGACCCTATGGTCAACCTTCTCGGATTATTCTGGAGGATCGAGAGATGTCTGGAGAACATTGAGGACTCTTTAGGTCCTTTAATGCAATTTCCTAGCATTTGATGCCCAACTCCATGGGATCCATAGCCTTCAGCCACAGCAGTTCAAGAGGTATCAAACTGTATCTATTTGACACTGTAGATGCCTTGGAGGAATGGCTTGGACATACCGAACGACCAGATCTCACCCAGTTCTGAGAAATCATCTCACCTCGATATTGCTGATTTCAGGGGGATTCCTCTCCTTTTGGTTCTCATAGGAGAGATGTTCAGGAGTGGTCACTCTTGGCCTGGCAGGGTCCGCTGCAGAACGGAACAGGAGGCACGTCACCTTCTATGAAATTCACAAACTGAACACCAATTCCACAACAACAGGATAATTATATATCACCAGTTGTCCCAGTTGGTCAGGAACATCCCAATTTAAGCCTTTCCTGTCCCACTTTTCCAGATAAGTATAAAATATGTTGTTGAAGGTTTTCCAAGCGGATGTTTTGGCCCGGACCAACGCAGATTCCCTTCTGCTCTAAAGTCCCTTTCCTTACCTTGTCTGGCAAAACATTTCCTCTTTTTCCTACAATTCCAGATTGTGCAAAATCCTACCAGGAACGATAATACGATGAGCCTCACCATCAGCCCCCATTGCTCCCATATTGGTCCATCACCTGCGAAAAGCAACAAAACATCCAACGTTGGCTATTGAAAAAACAATGCCTTTCAATGTAAACAAAACAAAACAATGTACCATGTGCCTTGAGTGCTACCAAAAGCCTTATTTGTTTGTTTGTTTACAGTGTTTATATTCTGCCCTTCTCGCCCTGAAAGGGACTCAGAGGGGATCACAGAACACGTCCATGGCAAACTCTCAGTGCCATTACACACTGGAAAGACAGACAGCTGTACATAGATAGAGGTGTATGTATAAGTCTTCTTATCTTCAGCATCTTGGAGGCAGTGCTTGGTTCCGGCCACAGGGGGGGGGGTGTGCTGTTGCTCTGCTTTCTCTGCTCACAAGCTTTTTTTGTAAACTTCCTCCTTGATTGAATTGCCCACATTTTTTCTGGCCTTCAATGCCTAAAGGCCAGGCGCTCAATCCAACAAATGCTACGTTCAGCAAAGGACAAGAGGGATCCTCTCACTTCTGCAGGAGTCTCCCGTATACCATGCAGCTGTGGACAAGTCTACATAGAATCATAAAATCATAGAGTTGGAAGAGACCTCATGGGCCATCCAGTCCAACCCCCTGCCAAGAAGCAGGAATATTGCATTCAAATCACCTATGACAGATGGCCATCCAGCCTCTGTTTAAAAGCTTCCAAAGAAGGAGCCTCCACCACACTCCGGGGCAGAGAGTTCCACTGCTGAACGGCTCTCACAGTCAGGAAGTTCTTCCTCATGTTCAGATGGAATCTCCTTTCTTGTAGTTTGAAGCCATTGTTCCGCATCCTAGTCTCCAAGGAAGCAGAAAACAAGCTTGCTCCCTCCTCCCTGTGGCTTCAACTCACATATTTATACATGGCTATCATATCTCCTCTCATCCTTCTCTTCTTCAGGCTAAACATGCCCAGCTCCTTAAGCCGCTCCTCATAGGGCTTGTTCTCCAGACCCTTGATCATTTTAGTTGCCCTCCTCTGGACACATTCCAGCTTGTCAATATCTCTCTTGAATTGTGGTGCCCAGAATTGGACACAATATTCCAGGTGTGGTCTAACCAGAGCAGAATAGAGGGGGAGCATTACTTCCCTCGACCTAGACACTATGCTCCTATTGATGCAGGCCAAAATCCCATTGGCTTTTTTTGCCGCCACATCACATTGTTGGCTCATGTTTAACTTGTTGTCCACGAGGACTCCAAGATCTTTTTCACACGTATCTGCTCTCGAGCCAGGCATTGTCCCCCATTCTGTATCTTTGCATTTCGTTTTTTCTACCTAAGTGGAGTATCT